CTTCCTTCACTCAGTACGTTTTTTTTTTTTTTTTAATTTTTTTTTTTTTTTCTAGGAGAGAGAGACAGAGACAGCGTGAGCAGGGGAGGGTCAGAGAGAGAGGGAGTCACAGATTGAAACAGGCTCCAGGCTCTGAGCCGGCAGTCAGCACAGAGCCCGACGCGGGGCTCGAACCCACGAACCGCGAGATCATGACCTAAGCGAAAGTCGGACACTTAACCGACTAAGCCACCCAGGCGCCCCATCACTCAGTACGTTTTAAGGCTCATCCATGGTTGTGAGGACTAGCACTTCCTAGTCTGTTGGGTGAGGTACCGCTGTCTGTTGTTCATTCTGCCATTGATGGGCCCCAGGACCAGTTTCAGGCTATTGTGAGCAGAGCTGCCATAAATATTCATGTCCAGGTCTTTGTGTGGACATCCACTTTCCTTTCTCTTGGGTGGACGCCCCCGAGTGGGATGACTGGTCCAGATGCTAGGTGTCTGTTTAGATTTATATGGAAAAAAAAAAAATCAAGCAAAGCAAAAAATACCTGCCTTTTTCGGGGTGCCTGGGTGGCCCAGTCAGTTGAGCGTCTGACCCTTGATTTCAGCTCAGGTCATGATCCCAGCGTCGTGGGATTGAGCCTTGTGTCGGGCTCTGTGCTGAGCAAGGAGCCTACTTAAGATTCTCTCTTTCCCAGGGCGCCTGAGTGACTCAGTTGTTTAAGCATTCGACTTTGGTTCAGGTCATGACCTCACAGTTTGTGGGTTCAAGCCCCGCGTTGGGCTCTGTGCTGACAGCTCAGAGCCTGGAGCCTGCTTTGGATTCTGTGTCTGCCCCTCCCCTGCTCATGCTCTGTCTCTCAATAATAAATAAATGTTTAAAAAAATTTTTTAAGATTTTTTTCTTTCCCTCCCTCTGCCCTTCTCCCGCACTCATGCTCTCTCTCTCTAAAATAAAATTAAATAAATAAATAAATAAATGGAAAACCTGCCTTTTCCAAAGTGGTTGTGCCAATTTACATTCTGTCCAATAACATGTGAGTTCTGATTACTTCCTCACCAGCTTGTGATGTCAGTCTTTTTAATTTTAGCCATCCTAGTGGCTGTGTTGTGGTGTCTCATTGTGGTTTTGATTTGCATTTCCCTAATGACTAATGACGTTGGGCAGTCTTTCACCCGCTTGCCAGCCATTCGAGTGCCTTCTCCCTTGAGGTATTTTCAAATCTTTTGCCTGTTTTTTAACATCAACTTGCTTGTTCTCTGTTAGGTGTATGCTTTGCAGATATCTTCCCCGAGCCTACGGTTTGCGTATTCATTTTCTTCACGAGGTGTTTTGACGGACACACGTCTAAATTTTGGTGTGTTTAATTTATCCATCTTTCCTTGTGTGGCTCTCGCTTTCTGGTCCAATCCACTAAACGTTTGCCTGCCCATTGGAGAAAATGTTGGGAGGAGGTAACAGGGAACCTGGAGGAATTGCAGATGGACAGAGCAGGGTGGGGAGGCCCAGGTTCTGCTGAGCTGATGGAGGGCAGCCCTTTGTAGGGGAGTTTGCAGAGGGTACAGGGCTCAGAAAGGGAATGCCTTTTGTATTAGGAGGCTGGATTGGTTCCTTTAGGCAGTACGATCCATGGAAGGTTTCAGAGCAGGAAGGGATGTGATTACAAGGGAGAGATGGCCCAGTGCCCATGACGTTGGAGGCTGGGCAGTTTCTCCTTGGTCACCGTGTCTCCCGGACACAGGTGGGACTCCCAGGGAGCTGGGGGCAGGGAACGGCTTCATCTCTGGACGCTTGAAGACTCTCCATGGGCCCAGAAGCCACCCCACGAGGTCATGGAGGGCCCATTTCCTGCTGAGGAAGCTTGCGTGGTAGGGAGCTAGCTGCTGACCAGAAGCCCAGGGAAGGTGTTCACATACATGGATTTAGAGCCAACTCTGCCAGTGGCTCCAGATTCTAACAGAGACCCCCACCCTGCCCCTCTGACCCCCCTCCCCCACCCCCACACTTGCCAAGCCCCTAGGCTTCTGGCTAAGGTTGCTCAAAGGCCTTTGCGCTTCCCCAGATCTCTGCATCCTTGCTACGGCTCAGCACAACCTAAAACACTCTAGGCCACTGATTTGCCTTGTCTGTCACCCGGCCCCTCTCCTTGACATGAGGTTTGTTGTTTTTGTTTGTTTGTTTGTTTGTTTTCTCTGCTCAAACCCAGTGCCTGGCACCACATCTGGACCCGCAGATTGTTCATAGTACAAGTGAAAGCAAGACAGACCCCCGCCTTTCTCCCAGAGCCTGTTTGTTTGATCACGGCCTTGATTCCGCAAGACAAAATGAGGATCTTTGTCCCCAAAGCCCAGGCCCCCTGCCTCGGGCCACCCAGTAAGTGGAGGAATATACTGAACCACCTCCTGCCCATCGCATAGAAAACGGACTCTGAGGGACGGGACTTTTCAAGGCCTGAGCCCAGCTAGGGGCAGAGAAGGAGTTGGAGCTCTCCTCCCAGCTGCCATTAGAGCCCTAAGCAGCCCCTGGGGAGAGGAGGCCCCAGGCCCAGCAAGGAGGTTTAAAGATGATCAGAAGCCTTTGTTTCCAGAAGATAGTTTTGTGTTTCCAAGGGTCGGGGGAGGGGTTAGAGGAAACTAACAGGCCCCACGATGCTTCTTTTCTGGGTAATTCTGGCCTCCACCCTTTTCACTTCTTTCCCAGAGATGGCGGTGGCCACCCTCATCCTTCAGGGCCTGGGAAGAGATTACATCAGTATCAGCTGGGCTGCCCTGCACTTGAACTCCAAATGAGGCCCGCCGGGCCCCCGTCCCATGGCCCGTGGACACCCATTGGGCGGCCCTCCTGCCCCCTCCCGGCCCACTCCTGTTGTCCTGGTGACCAGCACACTTCTCTGCGTGGACCCAGAGGGGAAACCCACCAGTATCCATGAAGCACGTACAGCATCTGTGAGACGGACAGCTTCTTGAGGAGTTTGGGAGTTTGGGGTGGGGGGGTCAGGAGGGAATTTTAGTTCCCACCACATTGCATCGCCACACACCTCCCTAGTCGGGCCTCCGCAAACCCCGGCTTCTCAAACAGCACAGCGCGGCCAGACCTGTTTAATCCAGCACTTCCCAGCCTCCCACCAACCTAAGACCTGCCAGGACCTGCCCTTCCCTTTAGGAAATGCTGTTCCCTCCTCAGGACTTCTGGGTCTTGCAGCCCTCTGACCCCGCCCCGCCCCGCCACCACCTGGTTCCAATTGTCTGTGCCTGTAACGGGGCTCATTCCTGGCCTGGTGCCTTCCCAGGGCAGCTCCTTACAGCATCCGCTAGCCAGGGTCACAGGCAAGAGAGGGGCACCAGCCACATCTTCCTGGCTGTGTAACTGCCCCCCTCTGTCTGATGAAGGGTCTCATCCCTGCAGGTATCCTGAGATTTAGCTCCTCAGAATCAAAACTCCTGTGTGTACAGGAGGTCCGGTGGAGTGGGCGTCTGGGGAAGGGTCCGAGATCTCTTCAACTGGGCCTCTACTTTGGTTTTGCTCTTTCTTAGGCCTGTAATAGGCCTCCTTCTCCCCCCTGACCTGTCCTCACCCTGGGGGAGCAGAGAGTGTTGACTGGGAGGGACATTAGGGAATCTTCTGGAAATGTCTGTATCAACAAAATAGAACTATAATGCAAGCCACAAATGAAGTTTTAAATTTTCTCATAGGCACATTAAAAAAGTAGAATGAGGAACGCCTGGGTGGGTTACCTCAGTTAAGCATCCGACTTTGGCTCAGGTCATGATCTCATGGTTCATGGGTTTGAGCCCCGCATCGGGCTCTGCACTGACAGTGTGGAGTCTGCTCAGAATTCTCTCTCTCCCTCTCTCCACCCCTCCCCGCCAAAATAAATAAACAAATGAACTTTAAAATAAGGTAGGAAGACATGGTGAAATTAATTTTAATTATATTTTATTTAACCCAGTATACTCAATTATCATTTCAACATGTCATCAAAATAAAATATTATTAATGAGCTATTTTATAGACTTTTTTTCATATCAAGACTTCAAATCCTGTGTGTATTTTATACTCACAGCAGGTCTCAATTCAGTCACCCCACTTTTAAGAGCTCAGTAGCACCAGTCTCTATCTGGGTGGTAGTTACACGGGTATAGACATATGTAAAAATTATGTCTAGATGTGTACTCAAGACTTGTATGTTCAACTGTGTGTAAATTACCCTTTAGTTTAAAAGTTTTTAAGGGGCTCCTGGGTGGCTCAGTCGGGTAAGGGTCCAACTCTTGGTGTCGGCTCAGGTCATGATCTTGTGGTTCGTGAGTTTGAACCCTGTATCAGGCTCCACACCCACAGGACAGAGCCTGCTTGGGATTCTCTCTCTCTCCCTCTCTCTCTCTCTCAAAATAAATAAATAAACAAAAAAAGAATAAAAGGGGCCCCTCGGGTGGCTCAATTGTAAGCATCTGACTTCAACTCAAGTCATGATCTCATAGTTCATGAGTTCAAGTCCCACATCGGTGAGCTCGAACCCGGCTTCAGAAAAAATACCAGCTCTGCTTTGAGTGAACCCTGCTTCTCTCTCTCTCTCTCTCTCTCTCTCTCTGCCCCTCGTGGGACTCTCTCTCTCTACCCGTGACTCACATGCACCCCCCTCTCTCTTTCTCAAAAAAATAAATAAATAAATAATAAAAGTTTTTTTTAAAAAATCCTCCTAGAAATCTATTCAAATGCCTGCTGTGTTTCCCAGAAGCCAGCCTGGCTTGGAATTAGCTACTTCAGTCACCCTGTGCTTCTGTTCTGTTTATTCTACTCTGTGCTTCCGCGGGTTGTTTCTGTACATATCCAACCCATCTTATTATTAAGCACCCTAAGGTGAAGATCATGGTTCATTTATTTTTTAATTCCCCAAAGGACTACTGGCTTCGTAGATGCTACATGAATAAGTGATTCATTGCACTGAATCCCCGCTCGTTAGACACCGCTCTCTGGAATGGCTGCAGGATGGGCTAATCCTTTGCTTCTGTTCTCAGTCCTATTCCAGATGCTGGCAAACAAGAAGGAGAGGAAGAGGAGGAGGAAGGTGGCATGGGGCCGTGTCTGCCAGTCACCCCAAAGAACTGCCTTCCACGGCGGGGTATCAGCGTCCTGGAGAAGCTCATCAAAACCTGCCCGGTGTGGCTGCAGCTGGGTCTGGGCCAGCTGGAGGCAGCCAGGATCCTGCAGCAGGAGGCGGCTGGGGTGAGTCGGGGGCTCTTCATCTTGTGACTGGTGGGTGGGCACGGCCTCGAGGAGCTGCCTGGGCTCCCCCCAAGCAGCTCGCCTCTGCGCAGCTGTCCATCTCCTTTCCTTTCTTGGGTTTATCAGCTTTCCGACTGGGGTGTTTTTCCCCCGACCTCAGGAGCGAGAGACTGGCTGGAGGTCTGGTGTACCCGCTGGAGAGCAAGGGCCTGTATAGCTGGCATGGGCTGTCTGGGCATTTGGGCACCTGCACTGACACTGGGAGAAGAAAGGGAATGCCTCCAATATTAGGAGACTGGATTGGATCCTGTGGACAGGACCAGGCATCCGGGACCAGAGGTTATCAGCTAGAGGGAACTAAGAAATCATTTTATACCCTTATTTGACGTATGAGAATAAGGGGGCTGTGTGATGCAGGCAAAAGATTTTCTGGAGTCAGGCTCTGGGAGCTGAGTGAGCAGCTTAGATTTTCTGAGCCTCGCTTTTTCTCATGTTGAAATGGGGCCATTAATGGGGCACCTGGGTGGCTCAGTCGGTTAGGCATCTGACTTCAGCTCAAGTCATGATCTCACAGTCCGTGAGCTCAAGCCCCCGCATCGGGCTCTGTGCTAACAGCTCAGAGCCTGGAGCCTGCTTCAGATTCTGTGTCTCCCTCTCTCTCGGCTGTTATCTGCTCACACTCTGTCTCACTCTGTCTCTCTCTGCATCTCAAAACTGAGTGAATGTTAAAAATTTTGTTTTGAAACGAGGCCATTAATTAAAGTACTTTGCTCTGGGTGATATGAACATTACAGGGGGAGAAAGATGGGTAGATAGTGAGTCAGAGCTCATCAAATGCCACCTACTGCCACCCCACACATTTTCTGTTCCATGCCACTTCCTTTTTAAAAAACATTTAATTTGTTTAATTATAAAAGTGATAAGCATACATATTTGCTGTAAAAAAAAAAAGTCAAACTGGACAGAAGTGACAAAGTAAAAGTAGAGTCTTCTCAAAGTGTTTGCCACATAGTCTCTTTCAACTTTACCTACTTCCCAGAAGTCTTTTCTCGGTTTTGTTTTTTTAGTGAGGTGAAATTCACAAAACAGAAAATTAACGATTGTCAGGTGCACCGTTTAGTATGGTCCCAGTGTTGTGCGGGCACCAGCTCTGTCTAGGTCCCAGACATTTCCTGGCCCTGACATGAAGCCCTGCCTCCAGTCCCCGTGGACTGCCCGCCCCCCCCAGCATCCAGTCTGCTGCAGAAGCCACTTTTGCTCAAAGTGCATGGTGTGTCCCTCCAGGCGTCCCTTATGCAGAGTCCCACGTTGATGGCGGCCAGGATTCACCTGGTACTTACCGCGTCCGAGGCACTAGTCTAAGGCCAGTATGTGAATCTCCCTCTTTGTGTTCCCAGCAGCCCTCCGAGATAAGCATTACAATTATGCCCATTTTATAGAACAGGTGACTGGGAGGCAAAGAAGTTGAGTGACCTCCCCCTGGTGACTCAGTGAGCAAGTGACTCAGTCTGACTGCTGCTGTGCTGTGTCACACACGTGCAGGTGTGTGCACACACACACTGCACGCGCAGGTGGAATCCCGCCTCTTGGCCGCTCACCTCCACTGGGCTCACCTTCGATGCAGTGTGTGGTGCCACGCGCGCTGGAGACTAGTCCAAGCTCCCGAATGCACGGGGCTCATTGGTTAGTGGACTCATTCACCTTGGACTAGATAAAATTCATCAAGTCAGCAGTTCCAGAATTACCGGAACTTAGGGGCCTTGGGCAACGTCCCAGCCTCCCCTTGTCACAGACGCCCCTGCCACGGGGACTGGGGACCATAGAGGCCCCACAGCCCAGCAGGATCCTGCCCAGCCTGAGGTCAGCCTCCTCTAGGTATGGTGGCAGGTGCCCTGCGGGCCAGGCCAGTCCCACCACAGCACTAGGGCAGCCTGGGAGTCTGTAGATCCCTCTGGAGGGATGAGCAGGGAGGGGGCTTGAGGAGGGGGCGACTATGGTGCTCAGAAAACAAGGTCTGTTTTTTTCGTCCCTCCCCACCACTAAGTGTTCTGTTTGGAACTGACTGAGGGCTTCGGAGCAGATGATAAAACTATGTGGAAAACGGAGTCGGGGGCTCATGCATGCCAGTGAGTGTCCCAGTCAGTGTCAGGAGGGTGTGGGGGGGAAGGTGCATCTCCAGGAAAGGCTGGGCTGGGCGTACGTCTTCACTGCTCTGCCAAAAGGTTCAGCCCTCTCTTCAAAAACTTCAAGATTAAAATAACGATAGTGGTTCTATGTGAAGAATCCTCACTGATGCCAAGCCCTGTCCTGGCATTAATGTCAAGCACTGTATGATCTCATTGCATTGAATCCTTGTGATAAGTCTGTGGGGCCGACTCTGCTATTATCCCCAACTTACAGATGATGAAACTGAGGCTAAGAGGAATGTTTCTAGGTTGGGCTTCCCTAGAAGCAGACCCCGAGATGAGGATTTGAGTTCAAGAAGTTTGTTTGGAAGGTGAGGCCAGGGAGCACCAGCAGGGGAAGGTAAGACAGGGAAGGGAGGCAGCTAAGAAATGGTATGTGATCCTGCAAGTTACCTCCTGGCGCAAGAGGAGCTGAATCTCGCCGGAGCACTCCGGGAGCCAGTGTAGAACACCCATCTCAAGGTCATCCCACCCGAGGGGCGAGAAAGCTGTTGTTGTCCACCAACCCCTGAGAGCCGTTGGTTCAGGGCCGTGGGATATGACGATTCGTGTTCCAGTACCTCCTCTCTGCCCTGAGTATGAGAAGATCTGACCCTGGCCAGAAAGAGATGCTGGGCTGTGGAGTGATGTGGGCAGACTTCCTGGAGGAAGCAGATGCTGTGCTGGGTCATGCAGCATGGTTGGGCAGGACTGAGATGGGGGACCTGAGAGGGTTTGTTAGAGGGTTGGGGGTGTGAGAACCGTACAGGCTGAGCCCCAGAGGGGGGCGCGAGCTGGGCTGGGGCACGCGGGGATGGACCTGTGACCGGGGCCTGAGTCTAGCACATAGAAAGCTTCTCCAAGGCTGCGTTCTAAAGTGCCACCATGCCCAGAGGCCTGAATCTGATCCGGGGAGTAAGACACAGCTAACGGTAAGAGGGAAGGCGACTGCCCTAAGGGAGCTCAGCCAGGCCTTCGCTCGGAGGCTGCAGGGGCCAGGCCAGCCCTGAGGACAACAGAAGTAGAGCAGATGCGCCTCCCATCGCCTTCCCTGTGCTCTGCCTTTACCCCTGACGCTTCCCTGTGCGCCTCTATATTTTCAAGCAGAAGCAAAATCCTAAGCTCATGCTCTGGTAATGATTGGCCAATTTACCCAGAGTTTTACCCAGAGTTTCTCTGCACAACCTCATCCATTCTCACGGCGATTTCTGTCAGGCAGTGAGTGTTCTTAGTGTCCTCATTTCCAGATGAGGAAGCAAAGGCCCTTTGCTGGGTGACTTCATCCCACACAATGGTCTGAAGCTCAGCCAGAGCGTTGCTTTCTTTGTTTTTAAAGCTGCAGACACTGCAAGTGACCTCCAGGCTGTGAGAGAGAGAAGGGTCTTCAGAGATGGCCCAGACCCACCCTTCCTGATGAGGAGAGTACTTCCTCCTGTCCATGCGAATGGTTGGGAGACCGGGCATCCTGCCCCCATACCCCCCTCTCACCAGCATCTCTGTGACCTTGACCACGTCCACCCCTCTCTATCTCCCCTCCCTGCAGCCTGGTTCTCTGATAAGGTATTGGGAACATACTGGCCCATCTTTTATTTGTGTGTATCCAGAAACAAGGCGATCAAAAAGCCACCTTTATTCCATCTGCACCCAAACGTTGTTGTGGGGTTTTTTTTTAATATTTATTTTAGAAACTTTAGATTTGCAGAACAGTTGCAAAGATAGTATAAGGAGTTCCCAAATAGTCCTCACCCGGTTTCTGCTCTTGGTAACATCTAACATTAGTAGGATACACTTGTCACAATTAATGAAACACTATTGATACATTTGAGTTAACTAAAGCCCACGGCCTGTACCCAGTGTCCCCTGCAAGGCACCGCATTACATTGTGTCTTCTCAGGCTCCTCTTGATTGTGACAGTTTCTCAGGCTTTCTTTGTTTTCGATGGCCTTGACAGTTGTGAGGAATACAGGTATTTTAAGGTATTTTGTAGGAGGACCCTCAGTTGGGGTTAATCTGATTGTTAGACTAGGGTTCTGGGTTAAGGCAGAGGAAGACCATAGAAGAAAGGTGCTGTTCTTATCACATCGTATGTCAAAGGCACCTACTATCGACACAACTTACCACTCACTGTTAATTTTGACCTTGATCACCTGGCTGAGGTTGTGCTTATCGGTTGCCCCTCAGCAAAGTTACTCTTTCCCCTCCCATACTGCCCTCTTTGGAAGGAAGCCACTGTGCACAGCCCACCCTTAGGGAGTAAGGGGAGTCCCTACTACCTACATAAATTATTTGGAGCTCTTCTGCACAAGATCCTTTTTGTCTCTTCTCCACTTATTTATTTATTTATTTATTTATTTTTAATGTTTATTTATTTGAGAAAGAGCGTGTGAGAGCATGAGTGGGGGAGGGGCAGAGAGAGAGGGAGACACAGAGTCTGAAGCAGGCTTCAGGCTCTGAGTTGTCAGCACAGAGCCCGACGCGGGGCTCGAACCCACAAACTGTGAGGTCATGGCCTGAGCTGGAGTCGGACACTTAACCGACCAACCAAGCAACCCAGGCACCCTCCATTTGCTTGTTTATCCAATCATTTAGTTGTATCAATATGGATTCATGGATATTGATTTCATGCTTTGGGTTATAATCCAATTCTGTGTTAATTATTTTGTTGCTCAAATTGTTCCAACTTTGGCCTTGGCCATTGGGAGCTCTTTTGATTGGCTCCCAAGTCCCTTTGACATACGCCCATCATCGTGTATGTATGTGTGTGTTTGGTCATTGGAGCACTTCCTTACTTTCCGACCCTGCATTCTCCAGGATTGTCTTGTAGATTTCTTTCTT